TGACCGACGCTGTCCCGCAGCCACCGCAACGTCATGATGCGGCTGAACCTGCAGCTGACCATGGGCACCTTCTCGCTCTCGCTCTTCGGCCTGATCGGAGTTGCCTTTGGAATGAATTTGGAATCGTCCCTTGAGGAGGTGAGAGTGTTGTTTCAGTGAGCCAGGGGTGGTTTTTTCATGCTTTGAAGGTCCGTTTTTAAAATAGACTTTAAAAAGAAAGTCTTCACTGTCCACTCCCCTCGGGACAGGAAATGTGTCCTCTGGCCCGTCCACAGCCAGGCAGGCTCCAGACCTTGTCTCCATGGCACAGACAGCAGGCTTCCTGCTTCTCAGACGGAGTCACGCTGGCCGTGCGGGAGGCAGGCAGCGCCCCTGGCCAGCGGCACAGCGTGTGGCTCAGCCGTCACAGCTCTGAAAGTGGGCGTGATTGTTCCCACTTCACAGATGAGAACAGTGAGGCCCAGAAAACGTCAGTGACTTGCCCAGGGCAGAGCTAGAGAGTCACAGTTGCATTTGAACCCAGAGACCTGCAGTCCCTCTGCTCTGCGCCTGGCATAGGAACGTGGTGTGGTGCTGGCCGAGCTCAGCTCATCCCTGTCAGACTCCTAGGCATGAACCCGACCCTGCGCTCAGCACGCTCTGGCTCGGGTTCTGTGTCCTGGCGAGTCCAACGGGCCGTGTCTCTGGCTGCCAGCCTGCGCTGCCCATGGTCTCCATCGGGACCCCTGTTCACCTTGAAAAGTGGTCGTTAAGAGACATGAACCTGAGGCCACTCCAGCCTCCAGCTGTTCAGTAGCCCTGGATGCCCTCAAGGTCAAAACCAGACGAACCTCCCCCAGGGCCTTCGTGATCCACACGCACGCTGCTCTCTTCCAGGACCACAGGGTGTTCTGGCTGATCACCGGGATCATGTTCATGGGCAGCGGCCTGATCTGGAGGCGGCTCCTGTCCTTCCTCGGGCGGCAGCTAGAGGCTCCTGTGCCTCCGATGGTACGTAGTGCGGGTCCCAGCCAGAGGCCGAGTGGTCACAGCCCGTGTGGGTCAGGCAGACTCCTTGACCCTGAGCGGTTATTTAATGCCTCAAAGCCACTCGGTTCCCCACCGCCAGGCACATCAGCACCACCTGCCTCGCGGGGTTAGGGGAGCCGAGTAAGATAATGCGTGTGAAGCACTTAGGAGCCGCCCGGAACACGGAGAACTGCTTGCTGGGGGGAGGGGGGGACGTGGGGACAAGCGTTACAGCCCAGGAGACGGCAGTGGCCCTGCTGCGGCTTCATTACAAAACGGAAACGCAGGAGCCAGCACTGTCACCGGGAAAAGAGAGGTTACCGCCCCCTTCTCCCGTCCCACGTGACACACTGGTCCATGGGCGGGTCCCCTCAGCGGTGACGGGATGGCCTTCCTTGTAAGAAGGACACCACTAACACGCCACTTGCCTGCTTTGCTCAGATGGCCTCCTTACCTAGGAAGACCCTGCGGGCAGACGGACGGCTGGACATGAAGCCCAGCCTCAGGCCGGATGGGCTGGGGTCCAGCAGGAGCGTCCTCACACCCCGGTGAGCGCGGCTCGCACGGCAGTCGCTGGTGAGACCGAGCCAAGCACAGAGCTACGTTGTCGTCCGAGGAAGGCCCGGCGAGCGAGCGACCGACGACGTGACCGCGCTTTCAGGGCTCTGAGGAGACCACGGGCTTCTTGGTCAGAGGCCAGGACTCTGCTCTGCAGCCTGCAGAGCTGCCCTTACAGCCGGAGGCCGGCAGGGGCTGACTGAACCGCGGCTGCGGCCTGGACCTGACTTCATGTGCATCGAGAAAAGGCGTGTCCAGCAGCCGCGGTGCTGAGACGCTGGCAGCGCACGCCAGCCTTACACTCCGCAGTCCGTGCTGGGAGCCGCTGGCAGCGCACGCCAGCCTTACACTCCGCAGTCCGTGCTGGGAGCCGCTGGCAGCGCACGCCAGCCTTACACTCCGCAGTCCGTGCTGGGAGCCGCTGGCAGCGCACGCCAGCCTTACACTCCGCAGTCCGTGCTGGGAGCCGCTGGCAGCGCACGCCAGCCTTACACTCCGCAGTCCGTGCTGGGAGCCGCTGGCAGCGCACGCCAGCCTTACACTCCGCAGTCCGTGCTGGGAGCCGCTGGCAGCGCCCGCCAGCCTTACACTCCGCAGTCCGTGCTGGGAGCCGCTGGCAGCGCCTTAGTTTCTTCCATTCGCTCCCTTCATAGACGGTGAATAAAACGGGGGCACGATCCTCTCACGTCAGCTTTATGTGGATTCCAGTTCATTAAGATTTCAGCTTTCAACCCCAAACTGCTCTGTTTGCTTGGCTGCAACTATGCCTTTGGAAGTAGAGCTGAAAAGAGTTTCCTCAGTTCCTGGCTCTTAGCTGGTTCCTGGTGGGGGTGGGGGTGGGGCACCCCCAGGCTGCAGGAGGGGAGATGCCTAGCTCTGCCTTCCCCTTCGCTTTCAACCAGAGCTCCGGTCAGAGCAGTGGCTGATGGCTGTTCGCCTCAGAGCTGCCGTCCTTGACGCCCGACCTTTCCTGTTTCTGGAGGTTCAAGGCAGGGGTCCCCTAGCCCTAACATTAGCCCCAGGCCTCGACGACTATACCCTAACCCTAACCCTGACCTTCGTTTTGTGCCCTAGCCCTCTGCCCAGAGCTTAAGGCAACCACCCACGCACCTCTGTCTCCTCCCCCTCCCCCCACAGCCCAGCCTCGGGCTCACGAGGACAGAGGCTCCCTGGGCTCTAGGGAGAGTCCGCCTCACCCCTTAGGTCCCACCTTCCCTTGGCCTGAGCCAACATTCACCCACATGCCAGTGCCCGGGGGGAGGCGACCTCGAGCCTCCCCCACCCGCTCCAGCCTTCCCAGGCCCCCATGTTTTCAGCGATTCCCGGGACCTGCTCCTCACCTACCTGGGTGGGTGTTTAAAACGCACTTCCTAGGGCACAGCCCCCGATCTTCTGGAGGCCAGCATAAGCCACCACCAGGGAGACCAGATCCCCAGGGCGGGCTCAGCTGACACCTCCTGTGTCCCTCAAAACAGTCACAAGCTTCACCCTCTTCTCCACCAGCACCCCTGTGCCGGCGTCTCTGAGCTCCTCCGCTGAGCGGCCCAGCTCCTTGTGTCTTAACCATTCCCCTAAACCTCACCCCAGCCCTAAGCCTGACCATAGCCTTGCCCTAGCCCTAACCATACCCCTAACCCTCACCCCAGCCCTAAGCCTGACCATAGACTTGCCCTAGCCCTAACCATACCCCTAACCCTCATCAGGGCACAGGCCCGGGTTTCGGGCTCCATCCCCAGGGTGGGTGTGCAGGAGGTCCTAGCCCTGAGCCTAACCATAGCCTTGCCCTAGCCCTAACCATGCCCCTCATCCAGAGCAGCCCTGCAGGCAGCGCGGGCGGGCGTCACAAAGGCACCCCGTGCTCTGGGCCCCGGCTCCGGAGGACACTGTGGGAGGCGGCGGCTCGGGCCCCTGTACGGGGCTTGACGATTGGACTAAAACTGCTATCCCCCGGCTGATGTGAAGGACACAGGGGAAGTTTTTCGTGCTCCACACTCTGCCGTGGCTGAAAGCCCTGCGGTCACCAGGGCCACGTGCAGTCCCTGTGGGCAGAGGCTCTCGGGCCTCGTGGTCAGGGCTCCCTGTGCCAGGTTTGGTCCTGTTCTTGTAAAACGGGTCATAACCCCTCAACTGTGACGGGAGTGGGTCGCCCAGAGAGCAGAGCTCGGTTTGACTGACCAGGCGTAGAATCGATTGGTGTTGCCTTCTGGTGTGCGCTTGTGGCTTTGGGGAGTCGTGTCCCGCGGATAAAAGGGAAAATAGGGCACCTACCTCGGCTGGTAAAGGGGCTTCCTGGTGGGCGATGAGCAGGGTCCGGGTGTCAGCCCAGCGCAGAGACAGCGGGGCCCCTTACACCGACATCTCCCAGCGGGGACAGCCTGGGCCCACACGCACAGCGCTCAGCGGTTTTCAGTTTTGAGTTGAAATGGACTGAGCGCAAACGATTCTTTGGAAGTAGGTGCTAGAGCACCAGATGCACGGCGGTGTGAGGTGTGAGGTGTGAGCAAGCTGCACCGCTCACCAAGCACCCATGCCAGGACCCGCGGTGCCAGGACCCGCAGTGCCAGGACCGCGGACCGCCGTCGGGAGGCCGGCCTCTGAGGAAGCTCCACCCCCTCCCCCTGCGGCACAGACCGCGGCCCCACAGAGCCTCCGAGAGGCTGTCCTGCTGAGGTGCCCCCAGAGCTGTGCAGCCTCCTTTAGGGAACTGCCATGTTTAAATCCCAGTTCAGTTTCGGGTTTACTTGCGTGACCCCGTGGAGGAGGTCTAATAGGGGGAGCCCGCGTTCACCCCACTCTTCCCATCAGAGCTGGTCTGTTAGGCACCCAGCGTTCCCACCCCTTAGCTCTGAAGAAAGTTGTCGCATAGACAAACATTGCAAAAAACATGTGAACCAACAACTGCCAATATATGGGAATGTGTTCTGAGATCTTGAAATAAAGGTAATTTTGAGTTAAACTTATAAGTTCAGATGTGTGTTAATGAGACTAGAACTCTAGACGGTATTTCCATTCAGAATCACGCCGTGAGCATTTAATCCGTCGGCCGCGGGTGTTAGTTTCCCGCGCGCCGGTGACCACGTGCTGTCTGAGGGGTTAACTTAGGCAGGAGAGCGGCCGGTGCCCGCGATGCCGCAAGCTTGTGGCGCAGTCGGACACGCTGTTTCGTTTCCAGACGGTCTGGCTGCGCGTGTCTCCACTCCCAGGAGCCTCACCTCCTTCCAGCAGGTTCTCCCGGTGTCCGCGGGGTGGCGGGCACACGGGCAGGGCTCCGGTCTGAGCCCAGGCTGTAGACGTGAAGCGCCCCGGCCAGTCGGGCTCCCAGAGAGCTCCTTTCTGCGGCCACAACCACCTGGTTCTGGGGAGACATGGGCCGGGACCTCGGCTGCTTTGCCCGCCTGGGGCCCAGAGGGCCTGCCCCTCACCCACGCCCGTGCCCGTCCCAGCCCACCAGAGGCAGCAGAAACAGCTCAGGTGGGGCCTCGCCCTGGTTCCGGCTCCCTGTCCTCAGCCCCGCGCTCCCCGGGCACCGAAGGGACAGAGCTGTGAGCCCCACCTGTCCTCGGGGAGCTCTCTCACGGTGTGTGTGTGTGTGGTGAGGGGTGTTCCTCTCTTTCCCAAGTAAAAACACAATCCCGTCTGAGTGAGGCCACCCCCAAACCCCAGCCCGGGGACAGCATGCCGGAGCCCAGCCCTGGCCCCACCTTGTCCTTGGACCGCACGGTGACCAGGCCGCTCCCAAACCGCGAGCTCGCCTGCGGAGAGAGCGGTGACAGGCCCTGGGGGACACGCCCCCGCGGACCAGCTCCCAGGAGGGACAGGGCCTCCACAGCTCCCCTCACTCCTGGGGTACTTACTTCCGGGGAAATCAGGACGTGCTGGGCCTGAAAGACACGGTGAGGGAGGGAGACTCAGTTCCTACGTTCACGTGGGGTTTCAGCCAGTTCTCCCTGACGCCCCGCCGCCCCGTTCTGCAGGAGCCTTAAAATGTGCGCGCTCTCCGACACCAGGAATTCCACTTAGAGGAATTCAGGTCATAAAAAACACATGTGGCCCAGCTGGTGTGACCGATGAACCAGGAGGTCACGGTTCGATTCCCGGTCAGGGCACAGGCCCGGGTTTCGGGCTCCATCCCCAGGGTGGGTGTGCAGGAGGCAGCCGATCCATGATTCCCTCTCTTCGTTGATGTTTCTATCTCTCTCTCCCTCTCCCTCCCTCTCTGAAATCAATAAAAATATACTTAAAAAAGAAAAATACGTGCGTAAAAGTGTCTATATGTGAATATTACATATAACAGTGGCTAAACGAACTGCGGCTCGCCTACAGATAACATACACGACAACCGCTAAACATAAATGAGGCGCTGGGAGGCACTGGAACGTGTTGCACGTTGGCAGGTAAAGCAAACACAGGGCAGCGCTGTGTGTGGCGCGGAGCAGTGTGGCCGGCGGGGGGAGATGAAATATGATCCTGGGTTATCCAGGTGGTCCTTATAAGAGGGAGGCAGAAGGAGACTTGACTATGGAAGTAGGAGCTATGACAGTGATGGCGAACCTATGACACGCGTGTCAAAGGTGACACTAGAACTCATTTTTTTGGTTGGTTTTTCTTTGTTAAATGGCATTTAAATATATAAAATAAATATCAAAAATATAAGTCTTTGTTTTACTATGGTTGCAAAGATCAAAAAATTTCTATATGTGACACGGCACCAGAGTTAAGTTAGGGATTTTCAAAATGCTGACACGCCGAGCTCAGAAGGTTCGCCATCGCTGTCCTAGAAGGTTCGCAGGCCTTATCTCTGCAGAGTGGAATTCGAGGTAGACGGTCTTTCATTTTTCTTTGTACCATTTTGTGTAAATTTTTACAATAAACTTTCATTAACTTTTTCAAGTTAAAAAATAACTTTTAAATTGGAAAATAGGTATGGCCAGGAGCTGTAGGCCCAGGAAAC